ACACTTCTCTTTATTTAAGCTTGGATTTTATATTTGGCTCCTGAAGCATCGGTGAAATAGCTTTACTGGATGTTCTTTTTAGAGCAATAATATTTATGCACCGTCACAGAAAGTCTCATAGATTTGGGAAAGAACAGTACAGTTGATATGGAGAAATGCCCTTTTTTTTACACTCCATCAAAATTTGCCTTATAAATGGAAAACTTATGCCACTATGAGTAGGCTGCAAGCTGATCTTTGAACATGTTGCTTATTGCTTTTACGGGTGCCTGTTTTATATATCCTGGAATCTCAGGCATTCTTTTTCTGTTTTAGACTGGACAGTGACAGTAATTAATTAGAAGGCATACCTGCTAAAACAGAGTCTGGTATTTAAGACTGGGGAGGTTAACTCTTGCGTGCAATATTTTCATCTAATAAGGAAGAAGGAAGGTTCTTTCTCCTGGATGAGAACACTGCATATTTCTTCTGCTGTATCATTCTTGCACATTGTTGTGCACTGACCCATCTGAAATAAAATTAAGGAACGGGGGAAGTACTGTTACGGGGAAGTACTGTTGTGCAAACTTTTAGGCAAGAAGAAATATTGTAGAAGAGGACAAATGGCTTGTAACAAACTATCTATTCCTAAATGGAGCCTAGCAGGAGGAGATCTCCTCTGTGGATTTATGGCTAGTTTGTAAAGGGCCTCCTTCAAATATTTACAATTTCTAAGGGGAAGTTTAATGTGGGAGGAAGGGAACCAGGAAACAAAATTGTCCTTGGCCTGGTCAGGTTTTAAAGACAAAGTTGAAATCTCTGCAGCTAAACTCTGCAAAATCTGAAATGAGCCTTCCACTTGTAAATAAGTTGTGGTGTTAGGGAATCTGGCAATGCAGTAATTGCTTTACAGGCAAACAGATGGTTAATCCACAGCATTTCTGGATAAAAGGTAAAGGTTCCCCTCGCACATATGGTCTAGTTGTTCCTGACTCTACGGAGCTGTGCTTATCTCTGTTTCAAAGCCGAAGAGCCAGCGTCGTCCGAAGATGTCTCTGTGGTCATGTAGCCGGCATGACTTAACACCAAAGATGCAGGGAATGCTGTTTTTCTATTTGCATTTTTACATGCTTTCAAACTGCTAGGTTGGCAGAAGTTGGGACAAGTAATGGGAGCTCACTCCGTTATGCGGTGCTAGGGATTTGAACCGCTGAACTGCTGACTTTTCTGATTGACAAGCTCAGCATCTTAGCCACTGAGCCACTGCATCCCTTGAGGGTTAGTTAGTTAGTTAGTTAGTTAGTTAGTTAGTTAGTTAGTTAGTTCGTTCGTTAGTTCGTTAGTTCGTTAGTTCGTTAGTTAGTTAGTTAGTTCGTTCGTTAGTTAGTTAGTTAGTTAGTTCGTTAGTTCGTTCGTTCGTTCATTCTGGATAGGATTGGGGGGAAAAACCCCTCTTTATGAAACATCAGAATGCTGCTACTATCTATCCACTGTGGGAAATTCCTTTTTATTTCAAATTGGGGATCTTTCCATTCTTTGGAAATTCATACCATCTTCTTGTAATAGCCCTTTAAATCCCAATAACTAGGTTTGCCTAATGTTCTAAGCCAGTGTTTCTCAATATCAGCCACTTTAAAATGTGTGGATTTCAACTCCCAGAATAGTAAGGGAATTCTGAAAGTTGAAGTACATCCATCTTAAAGTTTGAAGAATAAAATCTTAAAGTCTACATTGACATGCTTGGGTCAGAAAAACTACTGCTAAATGTATAATGCAGTTTATTCTCTGACCAGATTGAGCAGGCAGGAAAAGACCAAGGAAAGATATTTCGTGGGAATGGAATTCTGATATAATAATCACATCATTTGCACAAGAGGCACCTGTTGACATCATAGTTTGTTACAGACATTGTTGGTGGGGACACTCAGATTTCTAATATGCTAACTATGGTTTGTTGACCAAGCTAATTGGTGAGAAAATCCAATATGATCTATGAAGTCAACTACAATACAAATTAGTGAATGTGAACACAATATTCAGTTGGTTTGTGTTTGCTGAGGAATTTGGAGGTTGAAGTCCACACATCTTAAAAGTGGCTAAGATTAAGAAATACTGCTCTAAGCTGAAGCCTAAGAAGTCACTTCAATGCATATACATAGAAGGCTATATGAAGTTGGTAGGCACCTTGACAGTTTGGTCCAATGTGGTACATTGAGATAAAACGTCTTCCTGTGTTTCTGAGCAACAGACCTCTGATGACAAAACATTTCTGTTGTAACTTGGAAACACCAAGGAATAATGCTGACATCTAGCACTTGAGAGCTCCCTCAAGAAAAATAAGCTAAAAGAGGAGTAATAAAATCAGAAGGAGACGATCCTAATTTTGACTATTGTGGTCCTTGGGGTCTATGCCAAACAAGCTGAAGCATCTATTTCTCTGCTCTTCGGGAAGGCTGCAGTTCAGTTGCAACCAAAGGATGGGCCCCAATAGGATTTATTGATAGGATTTATACAGTTTATTGATCTACTCAGTCCTGAAGGACTCTAGTGAGTGTACGAAAACATAATAACCACAATAGCAGCGTATTGTAATTCAAAGCAGTCATGTTTACTCATGATTAAATAATTATTTTGTAATAGCTTCTTGTTGGTCTTTTGACTAAGGTCAAGTGTAGCATGATTCATCAACTGAATAGAGTAAAGTTCCTACAACATACTAAGTCAAGAAAATGTTAAAAGGACACCAGGATTAACATTCACCAGGCTGTGCTGTTACTGGTTAGGGAACTGATTTGATCAGATCGTTGTCTGAATACAGTCCCTGGGTAAACGAGAAGAGAACTGCAGGGTTTTTCTGCTGCTGAGCCAAAGAATATTTTCCCCTGCAATATTTCAGTGCTGTTTACTGATGGTCAACCTTGGACTTAGAAGGTGATGGATGAGAAAATGGAAAATCATCTCTGCAGAAGTTGGTGGAAGTCAGGAGGAGGAGGAGGCCGTTAGGGTGCTGAGCTGCAGGTAAACAAATGCCCACTTCCAAGCATCTCTTTGACTCCTGCTAGGGTTTGTGTGGTTGGCTTCCTGCCTGGCATTTTGGCAGACTGGCAAAATATGGTCTTTCATGCTAGCTGGTGGAGGGCAGAAGGGAGAAAAGCATGGGGGAAAATCAAGGAAGGAAATCTAACTATGCTTGAATGGAGGGGTATTCAATTAAGGTAAAGGTTGCCCTCGCACCTATGTGCTAGTCGCTCCCAATTCTAGGGGGCAGTGCTCATCTTTGTTTCAAAGCTGAAGAGCCTACGCTGTCCGAAGACATCTCCATTGTCATGTGGCTGGTATGACTAAATACTGAAGGCACACAAAACACTTGTTACCTTCCCATCAAAGGTGGTCCCTATTTTTCTACTTGCCTTTTTACATGCTTTCGAACTGCTAGGTTGGGAGAAGGTGGGACAAGTAATGGAAGCTCACTTACACGGTACTAGGGATTCGAACCACCAAACTGACGACCTTTCTGATCAACAAGCTCAGCATCTTAGCCATTGAGCCACTTTTTAGTATTCACTTACCTAACATTTAATTCCAGGTATATGTACCATGGCTGCACTGTACAGACATAAAATGGTTTCTGCAGAGAAGGTTTGTTGTTAAATTAAGTCTGTATTGAGTCAAGCTTGACTCCTAGTTACTTCAGGACATGTCTTTGCAGCTCTCTTGGAAATACTAGGAAAATGGTTCATTTTTGCCTTATTTGGGGATGGTTTTTTTCAAGTTCCCTGGCCAGCCTCCTATCCAAATGTTCACCAGCTCTAATTCGATTTACCTTTTGGAGGAGATCAGTCAGAGTTGTCTGATGCTGCAGCTGCTGGTGGTTGATGAACTGACACTTGTAAATGATGATGCTAGTTTTATTCTTAACTTACTGCACTTGTAAACTTCAAAGCAGATGGGAGGATTTCAGTGAAAACGTAGGGAAGACTACTGTTGAAATATCGAGCTAGTGAGATGGGTAGCATATACATTTTATAAATAAGGTACCTAATTTTAGGATAACGAAGTCTATTTTTAGTTAATTAGACTTCAAAGTTGTTTTCAACTGTCAAAGGCCATTTCAAAGGGGGTGGAATATTGAGATCCAATTGGGGTTAACTGTAGGAGTGATGACTTACTATGAATGTCTCTTTGTTTTCTTGTATTTTTGTGTTTGTGTTGTATATTTGATATGGTCAAATGACTAAATCAATAAAGTTTTTTAAAATTATTATTAATTAAACTGAATATGCTTTCTTAGTTGTGATTCCTGCCCAATCTCTGCATACATACGCTGGCCTAAGTCACATTTTAGTTTAACCATTATCATTGGTAAGGCACTTTTGATAGAATAGAATGGAATGGAATGGAATGGAGTGGAGTGGAGTGGAGTGGAGNCGGGAACGACTAGCGCATATGTGCGAGGGGAACCTTTACCTTTATAAATCTTCTTAACAAATCTATACATCCTTCCATTCCTCACCATCCAGTCAGAGCAGAAGAAGCTTCTTGGGTCAACCACGACCTGGATGCCTGAGAATCTCTACAGACAACGGCTGGGGTGATTTCTCTTCGCAGGGCGGGAGGCGTGACCCGGCGCCCGCCATCGCGGCTTGCTGCTCCCTACGCTTTCCAGTTGACGCCTCCCAGCTGCCCTTGAAAGCGGCTGGTTGAATACGGGCGGTCTAAAAAGCCTGGTCCGCCGAGACGAGGTCTCCAGGCCGGGCACGTGGCTCGAAGCGGCCCCTCTCCGTCCTCCTTCGCTTTGCCCAGCGGCTTGGCTGGCGCCCAGCCCTTCTGCCCGGTTGCGACGCGGAGGCTCCCGTGTAGTGCTGCTTCCAGCCGGCGGAGGCTGCTGTGTGGCGGCGAGGGAAGGAGGCGCGGCGTCGGCGGCGCCCTCCTCTCCTCCTTCCCCTCCTCTCCCTCAGCTTTTCCCCGCGGCGTCCTTGTCTCAGGCTAAGGCAGCAAGGCGGGAGAGAGAGAGAGAGAGAAAGACAGCGTCCTCTCCGGCCGCGCGTTGGGAGCCCCGGGGGAGGAGCAGCCGAGCCGGGCGGAGCTGCCCCGCTGCGGCGCACGAGGATCCGGAACCAGCTCAGCTTCCTTCTTCCCAGCACTGGGGAGCCCAAGCCCGCCGTGCCTGCCGCTTCCCCCTCCTCCTCCTCCTGGCCTGCCGCTGCTCCGGGAGAACGAAGAAGCCACGCCACCCCCGGAGAGGCGCCTTCTCTTGCAGCCGTGGGAAGCGGCCTGACTGCGGTCGCCTGCTTGGCTTCTGCGCCGCTTCGGCTGCCCGATTGCTGGCTCGTCCGATTGCCCTTTCTGCCCCCTTCTCCTGCCCGGCTCTTCTCCTTCTCCTTCTGCTGCCGCTAAGGGGGTTCGCTCCTGCTCCCAGCCAGCCCCTCCGCAACCGCCCCTGCTCAGCTGTCCTTGGAGGCGAGGTGTGTGCGCGTCCCAAGTTCCAGACCGCTCGCCTGGAAGGCGGATTTGGGGCACCGGGTGGATGATCGGCTGCGGTTCGCCGGCTGAGCGGCAGCGCCCCCGAGTCTGAACGCTCGTCCCCCTCGCCCTGCAGAGACGCTCCCCAGGAAAGAGCGCCCCGTCCTAAGCTGGCCCTTGCTTATTATGAGCGCTTCCCCCCGTCGGGTGGATTTCTCCGGGCTCCGTTCCGCCGGTGGCCTCCGCTGATTCCGCAGCCCGTCCCCCAACCGCCTCCGATGAAACCTTGATACAACCAGGCAGGGTCGTCGGAATCCAACCACCCCTTAGGTCCGGCTTTTCCCGGGCACCAGAGGATCGCCATGCCGGCGGCGCGATGCCTGGAGAGGCCCCGCTGCTCCTTCCGCGCTTTGCCTTTCCTCTTTGGCGCGGCTGCCCTGCTGGGGCTGCTGCCGGTGCTTCAGAGCTCCGGCTCGGATGCTCCCATGGAGATCACGCGGCAGCCCAGCTTGGTGACCGAGGGCATCACCGCCTCTCCGCCGGTTCCCGCCGAGAGTGGCCCCGACGGCGGGCACACCAAGAACACCAGCAGGACTCGGAAACTTTTCCCCGTCCTGGCGCTTCACTACGAGCAGGTGCACCTGCCCTTTGAGATTACGCTCTGGATCCTGCTGGCCTGCTTGATGAAATTAGGTAGGTTGGTTCCAGGTGCCCACCGGCCTATCTGTGGGTTTGTGCTTTGTGTCTGTGTGTGTGTGAGAGAGAGAGGGAGAGAGACAAAAGTTGTGGCTGCAACAAAAGGACTTTGTTGGCACCGAGGTCTGTTTCCCAGGATTACCTTTCCTAAACTCCTTCCTTTCTTTAGAGCTAAACAGAAAAGCTACCCTCCTCAGGGAAAGGAAATTTATTTATTATGTATTTATTAATAAATAATTATTATTAAATTTACGGTGCCGCCTATTTGCCCATGGCGACTCAAGGCGTCTTACGGAATATAAAAACCACATCTAAAAACAGTAAAACTAATAACAAATCAAATAAATCAAAGTAATAAAATCACCCCCCACCTTCCGCCTCTGCGTCAGGAGATCACATGAGCCGTTTAATGGGCTCCATCCCGCTCTGGGTTCCCCAGGCCCGTTGGCAGAACCAGGTCTTCAGCGCCTTCCGGAAGAGTATTAGAGTGGGGGCCGTTCTAATCTCTGAGGGGATGACGTTCCAGACAGAGGGAGCCACCCCGGAGAAGGCCCCACTTACGGGTCCCACCAGGTGCATCTCCCTCGGGGATGGAACCCACAGCATTCCCTGCCTCCCTGCTCTGATGGGTCGGGTAGATGCCACCGGCAAGAGACAGTCCCTCAG